CCCCGTTACGCCACTCTGGACCCAGCCGTTCCCCAGATTGCGTGCCCGCCCCGTGCCCCCGGCTCCATTCAGCCATTCCCGCTCCTGAACCCCCCCCCGGCACCACCAGCCCCTTGGGTGTCGGGGGCACCGTGGCTTTCTGGGGCTGCAGAAAGGCCCCGGGGCCTTTGGCAGCACAGAACCCGGCGCTGGATTCTGCTGGAAAAACGTTGAGGCTGGGGAGGGGACGCTGGGATGTCGAGGTATTTTGTCATGTAACATCTCTGATATCAATTTTTTCCCCCCAAGGCTGCCACGGCCCCCCGCATCCCGCCCACGCGGCTGGCCCTGCACCACTTCGACGTGAACTACAGCCTGCAGCTGAAGGACCTGTGGCCCTCCGTCCGCGCCAGCCTGCTCTGCGAGCAGAAGTACGGTGCCCTCCTCAACAACTTCTCTGCTGTCCACCACGTCACCCAAGAGCTGGAGCTGCTGAATGCCACCGATTTTGTTTCCGAAGCCCCCAAAAAGGCACCGCGATCGCAGCGGGGTGCGGCTGCAGAGGAAGCAGGGAGGGGGGAAAGCAGGTCCCAGGAGAGGTCTGGCGAGGGCAGGACAGCGATGCAGGCAGAGACGATGACACAGGCAGAGATGTCACCACCGCTTCGACCCTCCATCAGCTCCAACATCAAGTGTTACACCTTCCCCAGGGGCGACATCACGCGCTTTCGCCCTGCACGGTGAGACATCCCTGGGACAGACCGCCCGCTGTCATTGCAAGCCTCGGGGGCTGCATGTGTGTGAGCACCTGCTGCTTCTGTACGTCCCCATCCTCACTCTTCCAACTGCTGATTTCTTTTCCCCTTGCACGTTTGCTTTTTTTTACACAAACCGGTGATTTCCAGGCCGGATGCTCTGGGGCTCCTCGACTATTATCTCATGGACGCAGCATCTCTCCTGCCTGTCCTGGCGCTCAATGTGCAGCCGGATGACTTTGTCCTCGACCTTTGTGCGGCTCCGGGTGGCAAGACTCTGGCTCTGCTGCAGACTGGGATTTGTGGTAAGTGGAGGTGGGTGTTCCTTGTCCCCGTGCGTAAAAGAGGGCTGAAAGAGTGTGCTGTGCCCATTAATGTCTGACCGTTAATCATTTCTGGTTAGAAGAGTTGGGAGTCAGGTGTGTTTTTTGCAAGAGTGACATTCCCAGTGTGCCTGTTTTGTCCTCTCAGGGCATCTGGCAGCCAACGACGTCTCCATTTCCCGGACAAAGAGGCTGCACCAGATTCTCCATAGCTATGTTCCCAAAGTAATTAGGGAGACTGTGAGTGTCACGTCCTGCGACGGAAGGGACTGGGGGCAGCTGCAAGGCAGCACTTTCCATAAGGTAGGTGATTGGGAACCGGTGAAGATAAACCCATCTAGTTCACTTTCCTCCTGTTTCAGAGGAAGAGAGCAGCTTATCCTACGGTATAATTGTGTAGTCTTAAATGCGGAGAAAGAGAGAAGAGTAACCCACATACGGAGTAGTATTTCCTCCTGCTCTACCCTTCCTCCAGGATCTGGTGCATATGGGCATCTGGAGTTGTACCTTCATTTACCTGTGTGATACCCCTTAAAAGTCCTGTGCTGATCCATCACCTAGAAGGGGTTAAATGTGAAGATTAGATAATTGTCATTTCTCAGCCGTGTCCAGGCATGGGAGCTGGGTTTATTACTCCAGGAGGGGTCACTGCAGGAGCTCTGGCCATGTGTGGTTGCAGCTGTAGGTGCTGCAGTAACGCCTACCAGGAAGACACATGGTGTAGAAACGTTAAATGGGGACATGTGTGAGAGCGTGATGCTATCTGCCATTTCTGTGTCTGTTTGCAAATTCCCGAAACGAAAAAGCAGCCAGACGAGTTACAGTTCAGTGTGGGTGCACGCCTAGCATCAGCTAGGCAAGGTACCAAGAGCTGCTTGGTGTGTGGCAAGGGTGGAGGAGTTGTGCAAGGGGCAGGTTGCACGAGGAGACTCGCTGAGCTTGACGTGGGTCCAGGACTGATGCAGGACCTCTGCTGCTGCAGGTCCTGGTGGATGTGCCCTGCACGACGGACAGGCATTCTGTCATGGAGGAGGAGAACAACATCTTCCACAAGAGGCGAACGAAGGAGCGTCAGATGTTGCCCATGCTGCAGCTGCAGCTGCTGATGTGAGTGAGCTCGATGCTGTGTTTTGGTGTCATTTGTGTTATGGTAGCAGCTCTCCATGGCCAGCACTGAAACCTCTTCTTACTTTATGTGTCCCTGACTGGGAAATGTGGAAACCATGTGTAGTTTTCTGGACTGGCAATAGTTGAACACATCAAATTGTAATAAGTGTAGAAGGTGCAAATGTTCTCGGTCAGATCAAATGTCCTTACTGTCCCCAGCAGTAGCCACAGGAGGTAGGGAGGACAGTCTCAGGAACAGGATGGGTATAGTGTTGTCCTTTTGTGTGATGATCTCCCCGGTCCTGGCAGTGGAGGATTCCTGAGTGTCCACATCTCCCAGCACATGGGAGGACATGGCGCTTTGTCACCCCATTTCACTGGGAAGGCTGGATGGGCTGGCTGCGAGCTGGGGCAATAAGGAAACAGATTAGACAGTCCCGTGGCAGTGCTTGAACTGCAAGAGCCTCTTCCCCTGTACGTACTTGTATCCCATTCCCTTGGAGGTGAGTGCAGGAGTACTCCTTCCAGCGGCTCTCCAGTAACGTCTCTCCCACGTTAAGTACTTTATCAGTCTGAGCGCCTATTTGACCCATATTGCCCTGGTCTAAAACAGTCCTCAAGCTGCAGTGACACAGTGAGACTGCTGAGCCTGTGGACTTCAAGATTTGTCTCTCACCTCCTGAGTTACGTGCTGGCTTCCCAGTTTTGGTGGGTGGGAATGCTGGTGTGCCACGCAGTCCTCTTCTTCCCGTGACAGTGTGTGTGTTTAACTTGCCTGCAGGGCTGGGATCCTCGCTACCAAGCCAGGAGGAGAGGTGGTGTATTCTACGTGCTCCCTCTCCCCGCTGCAGAATGAGTATGTGATTGAGAGAGCAGTAGAAATTGCAGAAACCGAGTTTAACATCAGTATCCATGTTGAGGACTTGAGCCACTTTCGGACACTCTTCCAGGACACGTTTTCCTTCTTCTTGGATTGCCGACTGGGGGAGCTTGTTCTGCCTCACCTCACAGCCAACTTTGGACCTATGTATTTCTGCAAATTACGTCGGATGTAGAAGGGTTGACAGACTATGTCTGTTGGCTATCAGGAAATACCCCAAATTTCCAGGGAAAGCAAACTGCTTTATATTTATTTTTCTTTTTAAAGTGTCCCAAAGGAAGCCTGCTTTTTTACAGCAGACATAGACAATAAATGAGAAAGACCTGCTGTGGAGTCTCCTGAGTATTTATCTGTTTGAGACTGAGGTGTTTAATCTAGGAAAGAGAGAGAGGTCTTATCAGAGGGAGCAATTTATCCATCCGTCTCATGATGGGGTAAATGGCCCTGTGTGGATGCTGCTCTCTCCCTCCCATCTGACTGCTTTGATCCTACGTGAGCAGGTTTGGGTTAACGAACACCATCTGGGGATCTCAGCCTTTCTGTCCCAGATCTCACCATCTGCATAATTGAGTTGCATCTGTCTCTGCTTATCTCCTACCTTCAGAAAGAGCAGCCTGACATCCTGAAATAAGAGGTTCCTAAGAATGCCCCTGCTGTGAGGTTGGAAATGTGCTTGTGATGCTCGAGATCTGGTGGTGGAAAGAGCTCGGTGCTGTGGAAAGGCCGGTGGCTGTTGCCCTCCCTCACGGACAGGAAAGCTGTGGTTGAGAGGGAAGGTGTCAACACTCCCATGCTGGGTGCCATTTAATGTCCAGTGGGAAGGTGTTTGTATGATTTTGAGCAGTAACTGTGCGTTCATGTAATCATAGCCATCAGTGAAGCATTACTGGAGTTCATGATAAGAGTTGCTTAACAGCTCTATTTTTATTTTTGTGAGCAAAATACAGTGATGGGGAGAGTAGACATGGCTGTATTCCTTACAGGGCAGCCCATTGTTACATCCATATGAAGTTACTCCAGTGCCAACAAGAAAATACTATTGAGCTTTTGTAATCCTTTTCTCTCAGCATCACCCTGCTGCTTCTGCAAGAGGGCAGCATAGATGAAAATGAGGGTGAACCCCCATCCATGTCCATACTTCCAGGAAGGTGCAGTTCATAGATTTAGCATCATTTGAACCCAGCTTAAGCCAATGCTGCCCTCTGCGTGGCATCTTGGTTCCTTACAGGATCTGTGCTTATTGGCAAGGAGGGGGGTCAGGAAATGGCTTTTCCTTCCTCCTTCCCTCCTCGCTGTAATCTCTGCGCTGCCAGTTGCAAAAGAGAAGTCGTGCAGCGCTGTCTGTTTCGCCACTGCGAGTGTGGGACTGTGGAGGCTATGCCGCTCTCTTCTCGCGGCTGAGGGTCTCCACCTCCTTCATGAACCGGAGGCACAGCTCCTCCTGCCACGGCAAGGCCACGCACTGCACAGCTACGGGCAGCCCCACGGCTCCTGCCACAGCCTGCAGCAGGGGCAATAAGTGGTGAGGGGTTACCTGGGGGGCTCAGACCTCCAGCAGCTTTTGGAAACTTGGTTTAGGCATGTGGCTCGTCCAGAGAGTGGGGAAGTTGGAGGCTAAGCCCTGCCATTCAAGCAGCGTTAGCGTGCTGGGGCAGAGGGAAAGCTCTTGCTGTTCTTGTGATAGAAATGGTTGCCAAATCTTGAGCAGCGTGTTTAAACACACACCCCTCCAGCCCACTTTGCTTGGAGCTGACTTGCAGCCAGATCCCTTTTCCTTCAGCATCCTCATTCCTGATCCATGCTCCGCTGGCAGCCTGGGCCTGGTGAAGGCATCATGGAGCAGGAGGAAAGTAGAGTGCTGTGCTGTGGGCTGTGGCTGTCACAAAAACCTACTCAAACAAGCCTTACTGCATGGCTCCTTTCTGATTTCAGCCTATAATCCAGCCTGGGGGTGCACCCCCAGTCCCCCCAAAGCTTAGTGACTTACGTTTTTTGGGGCTTGGGAGAAAAGGGATTTGCAAGGCGTATATAAAGAAGAGGTGATTTTTTTTGCACTGTGCCCATATTGCTGGAGACATTTAGGAGCCCCTGATTTCAGTGAAACTATTACTTGAACATGCACCAGCAGTCTCTGTTCCACCACTTTCCATGTTGCATACCTGTTTCAGCGTCCGGTCCCAGGGGTCATCACAGTATCCTTGGTAAAGCTTTAGCTCTTCCTCATCAGCTTCTGTCACTGTGCTGACGGGTACAACGCCAGCAGGGAAGTTCAAGACGTTGTACAGCATCGTGGAGGAGATGGCAGCTGAGAGAAGCACAAGAGAGAACGCAGGTAGTCACAGCCTCCCGTCTTCCTTCAAACTTGCACATTGCATGTTCACTGAAGCCCCTGAGAACCAGCTGCTGCTGGGAGGCGAGATTGCACAGGGCTGGTTATCTGCAGGTCCAAGTTCTACTGCAAGAAACAACTGCCACCAGATCACTTCACCCATGTGTCTGTCTCAGTCTGCTCAGGTAGCTTTATGGTAGTTATTTTTCCTTCCTAATGCCCATAAAATGCTTAGGTGGGTGGTGAAGCTCCACGGTAGTGGACGTTTCTGTCCAGTCTCAACCACTGTGGTCCTGTGCCCTCCCGGGAAGGTCCCAGACTCACTTACTGAGGAGTTTCCCAGCGTATCCCGTGGTGAAGGCAGGCCCCAGGACAGGGCACAGCACAACGTCCAGCCGGAGTTCCCTCCACCGGGCAATGAACTCGGTGCGGTACGCCTTGGGGAGGAGAGGGGAGATGACACGGAGGCCACATCCGTGCCTGGAGCATCTCGGCTTCTCCAGGGCACGCACCAGGCTCTGGCATGGCCAAGGAGGCAGCAGCAGGCAGCCGTGCTTGTGGGAGGAGGCAGGGGAGTGTGTGTCTGCCTCCACAGCACGTGGCCAGGAATTGGAAAGGTCCCTCTTTAGCCGTCCTCACACCCAGGACAGCCTTCGTTGTGCTGGGACCGTCAAACGTGGGCATTTGGGCATGAGCACTGTGGGCAACTGGTAAAGTCCTGGCTGGGTTGAGCCAAAAGCCCACCTACCCCATTTCTATGTCTCTTTTGTGCCTTTCCCTCCATCTCGTCTCCTCCCCAGCACAGCTTGCACAACCCCTTTCCTAACTGATGACCCTCCAACCTGGCACTTGCCATAAAGCCTCGACTTGTAGCATGATGCCAGAGAAAAAAGTCCTCAAAACATACCTCTATTTGATGGTGATGATTCCACATCTCCTTCACTGACCTGCAAGTGGAAATCATAGCAACATTTTTAAGCTTTAAGAGGAGGAGGAATTGCTTAAATAATTCTCCAGGTTGATAAGCCCTGGTGATTTTAGCAATTTCTTAAAACAATACATCTTTCACAATTTGGCCAAAAGTTCCTTTGGTATTTGGCCAAGCAATTAAGCAACAAATGTCTGGAAGTGGTAGAGAAAAGATTTCTCTTGTGAGCCCGGATTTAGTACTCATGTCCACTGTCCTGGTTTCAGCTGGGATAGAGTTAATTGTCTTCCTAGTAGCTGGTACAGTGCTATGTTTTTGAGTTAGGTATGAGAAGAATGTTGATAACACACTGATGTTTTCAGTTGTTACTAAGTCATGTTTAGTCTAAAGCCAAGGATTTTTCAGCTTCTGATGCTCAGCCAGCAAGAAGGCTGGAGGGACACAAGAAGTTGGGAGGGGACACAGCCAGGGCAGCTGACCCAAACTGGCCAAAGGGCTATTCCAGACCATGGGACGTCATGTCTAGTATGTAAACTGGGGGGAGTGGGAGTGGGGGGATCACCGCTCGGGGACTAATTGGGTGTTGATCGGTGGGTGGTGAGCAATTGCATTGTGCATCACTTGTATATTCCAATCTTTTTATTATTACTATTGTCATTTTATTAGTGTTATCATTACTAGTTTCTTCTTTTCTGTTCTATTAAACCGTTCTTATCTCAAACCATGAGTTTTACTTTTTTTTTTCCTTATTCTCTCCTCCATCCTGCTGGGTGGGGGGGTGGAAGTGAGTGAGCAGCTGCGTGGTGCTTAGTTGCTGGCTGGGGTTAAACCACAACACCACCGCAGGTTTCCTGTTGACCTTATCCATCAATTCCCTCAATCCTTTCAGGATAACACCAGGGGCAGTGCAACACTGAGGAGATGTGTTCCTAAAGGCTGAAGCCATGTCCAGGATGGAGGGACAGCCCCTGCAGAGAGCAGGTCAGAACCTGTTGTGAATCCAGTCTGCCCCCACCATGGACACTTAGAGGACCATTCATTTACATGGACATCCCTGGGGACGATGCCATCTTACCTCATTCCGCCTAAGGCGCTCAGATAGTCAGCCAGGCGGGGAAACTGGAAAGGCAAGAAGTTCTTGTTAGGGACATGACACGGGGGTGCAGTAGTTTGTGCCATCCTGGGAAACCCCCAGTCCTATCCTGCCTCCATCCCTTGGGATGCTGCACTGAAGGTGAAAGATAATGATTAAAAATGCTCCTCATGGTTCTGAATCTACTTTGCTTTCAACTTCTGGTTGTTGGTACCCAATGTGTTTCTTACAGCCCAATATTTCCTGCTCACAGAGGAATGCACTGACTTGAACCAAGTCACCTTTCATCATTTTTGATAAATCAAACATTTTTTAGCTTGGCATCTCACAGAAATAAGACCTCTACAAGCACTTTGATTGCCTCTCACTCACTGCTGCCTTTTTGATCCTGTCAGCTGAGAACAACCCAACCAGACAGGGAGGCAGAGAAAATGGAGGATGGAGGAAAGAAGCCCTACAGAAGGATGCTCAGCTGGTGAAAGAGCTACAGTGAGGGCCAGCCCTTAGTAACCACTAGCAGTCCCCATGAAGTTGTGACCTTGGGGAGGCCTCCAACATGGGGATAGAGCTTCAACCTCGAGTCCTTCTGCTGCAGTAATCCCAATGCATGCATTGGTAGGCAAGTGGGCACTGCTAGGTCTAGCATTTGAAGAAACACTTGCAGTGGGCTCTGCATTAATCTTTTAGAGCTCTTGGCTGGTCCTTCTCTTATTTCCCTTTGCACTGAATAAATCCCAGCAGGGATGTAGAAAAGACCTTCCAAAGTGGTAGCATGCGCCTTGGCCTGAAATCCCAGTGTTTCTAGTTAAAGGTGTCCCTCAGTACCATAACGCTTTCAAGCATCTCAAGGCC